TATCACAATCTATTCGCCGATGTGTCATGCGTTTGAAACGTCCATTGAAGCACTTGAACAGCTTGGCGCAAACTAACGCGTGGTCGAATACGAGGGGAGTGCTCTAGTACGATCGGCAGTTTTATATACAACCCCGCCGTTTGTAGCTCATAGTGATGCGGTCGATCTGCGTCCGATTCTGACTCGAAGAGGGCGGACGCCAAGTGGCATACCGGCAGTTGGATCGTCTGAAGTTCGTACTGGCGGCGAATAGGCGTTAGTCGGAACAAAGAGTCAGCAGCCATTCCCCGTTTCACGAGCGACAGGAATCTAGTCCGAAAGGACCACCCAGATGCGCCTCATTCGAAGTCAGGCGACCTACTCTAGTACTCATATCTCCTGCCGAAATCACGATATCAGCCCGAGTTATTTACACAAGAGGTCGTGTAACTTATGGTAAAATTCATGTTTGACTGCATCTGGGCTTCAGTCTGTCGGGGCGTACGCCGACACGACAAACAGGTTTCATCTATCGCGGCGATGGCTGTTTACTTTGCACGAACCTCTAAGTCTGACTGCGCACAACCTATTATCGACTGGGAACCAGTCCAGGAGCGCGGATTCAGCTCTCTCACTGAGAGCCACACCAACACTAGCAAGACCAGAAGCCGCAGCCTCAGGGTCCCCAGAGAGGTGTAAGTGAAACTTCACTGATGGGTTCGATGGGGACGTCAATCGGATAATGGAGCTGGAGTATTGAATGTGAGTCTCTTGGATAAAACACAAATCGATGGCTAGGGTCTCGAGCGTAGGAGCTAAACCGGCCTGTTGTCCTATACGCATCAGAGTGCGCACGTTAAATGTGGCTAGTTATCTGAGGCATTAGTGTTTGCACGATCATCTGAAGATCCCGAGAAAGGGGGTGAACATAGGATAAGGGAGGGCTGGGGGACATGATTGTTTGTACATTGTAAAGTGTTTGTCTCTAGTTGCAGAAGTTGTAGACTGAATGCACATAAAAGTCGAAGATTTCATTGTTGCTGGCGTTGTGGGCTGTTGTACTACTCGGTCGCCCGGTCCAGAGTAGGCCTTGTTCAAGGGTGCACTCTAGCCTTTGCGCAACCAAGCACGGACTGCAAGGCAACAGCAATATTCCGGATGAGCCGGTATCCAGTATTTGTTTCATTCGCCTCTTCTGGAACCTTGCCGAACAATAGATTTCGACAAGGGGCCACACGGCAATAAGCTGCCGTTGGCAAGGCTTAGTGCGAATAGCAGATCCTATTAGACCAACTGCGTTGAATCTGGTCACGCGTTTTGATACAATTCACTCTCCGACTTATTGACCGGCGACAAAACCATCAGAGTCGGTTAGCTCATCATCGCATGTCTGTGCCAGCAGTTCGTGCACGCTGAATCATAACTGGTGCGTGATCTAGGTGCGGTTCAACGTGATAATGTAAATGAGCACTGGGATGAGATTAGGCGAACGATGCATTCCGCAGCGAGTGTTGCTTGTGGGTCTGAGCCTCAAGCCCGTCGGAGATATTGGGTATCATCATCATCATTTTACAGTGAAATACAGTGAAGCGAACTTCACTGATCACGCATTTGGTATCTGATGAGTGAGTAGTCGTGATGGAAAAAAGCGACAAATCCCAACCTGCCAGTATCGAAACAGAGTTAGATGGCATCTTCAACGTTAGCTCACGAAGAGTCTCAAGGAGGACCGTAAGAACTGGCGGACAATAGTTAGTGAACAGTCAAGGGCCATTCTGGCTAATACGCAATACGCGAGGTCGGCGAACTTCAGTTAGTGAAGCAGTCTGCGATAAAATGGGACAAGCTATTCGCAATAGGGATCAATGGCTTGATCGCTGGGCAGAATACTTCAGCAAACAGTTTAGGTGGCCTGGCACATGCTTGATTACTTCATCTGTAACTGCAGCTCCGTGGCCCGTGATCGTTATTCCCGTAGTTTAGCCCACGTGGGATGGAGCGAACGGATTTGTAATCTGGAGGTAAGCCGTCGTGTGTTTATCGGGGATGAATTTTCAGTTGCATCGACTTCAGATTAACAGGCTTCTCTGACTAGGGCACATAATGCGCATGACCAACTGTCGTCTGCCACACCGCGCTTGATTCGCTATAGCCACTCCGGGCTGGAGGAAGCCACGTGGAGATCAACAGATGACGTGGAAACGAGGCTTGAAGAAATACACAGATCTATGAGGTAGAGTAGATGTCTCACGCTTTCCAGGTTGATGTTCGAAAGACTCCGTAAATGGTTGGTTGGAGACATTGAAGGAAATGACACCCAACCGACAGCAATAGAATTCTTGCTGTTGTATCCTATCAGGCCAGAATGCAGAACAGTAAATATGCACGGTTAGATTGTGTACTCTGTGTGGTGACCATAGAAGTTCAGCTTCTTCCATCTTCCTCAAATTAGGTCCAATCCCTGTCCACCTAAAAAATTCTACTAATCTTGTATGCATTGCGAGAATCGCAGCGGTCGGTAAAGTTCACGTCACTGTATCTCCCCTACGATGCTAATGATCCTGTAACGAAGATCAGTCACTTAATTTCACCGCCGAATTATCTCATTTGTGTAGACACGATTTCTGTTTTTCGTTTTGCGATAAGTTCACTAAAAATAAATATTAACAGCCCTATTGGCAACCCATCTTCGAAGGTTTTGTTCGCGCGGACCGTTGAAATTTGATGAAATCCACCTGTTGCTATACTTAACACGATATTAAATACGAATGAATGACTACTGCTCAACTGCTAAATACTTAAAAAATTCTATATTCGTTGTGAAGGTAGATTCCGGTCGATTTTCGGTTATTAGTTCCTTATTGGTTACAGTTAAGTGTTACTTTCCAAATTATGCTTTCGAACAGTTGTTCTGTTGAAGGAGCTCAAAACGCTTATTTCAGCTGTAGTACTTGATCTTTTGTTTTCAAGTTCGAAACAGGTGTGCCTCAGGTTTTTTCACGACTGGATCGAAATTTGTCACTGTCTGCTTTGTTTTAGGAAATTGACGAAGCAATTGCTGGGTCACTCACCCCACAAGATACAACAGCCGTTGAGCAGGAACTTGATGATCTTCTGCTAAGCTTGGACAAGGAGCTTCCGGATGTGCCCACACATGAGATTTCCGCTAACAGAGATCGGGGTGAGAAAATTACTGCATCACTTTGTTTGGTTGTTACGGGATGAGTCTGTGTCGTTCAATGTTTTTGTCTTTTGCGCCGACTGAGCCGATGCAAGTCTTTGCATGGCATGTGGTAATAATATCTGGGTATTGATTAGTTTTGTTTTCGGTAATCGGATATACATACACAGTAACTTTTAGTTTACCTTGTTCTATTTGCTGTTATATCTGTTCAGTTTCGATTACAATCCCGATCATTGCAATGTGTTTGTTGTATCTCAGTAAAAGAAATCATAAAACAGAACGAATGTTTCGATAAGTTTGCAATTCACATACCAGCGGAAAGAATGTAAGTGATTAAAGCGATGCTTCTCAGCTGCGTGAGTTGATCTCGCAGATCCGGACAGGACAGTGTGAGGTTATTCAATCCAGTTCGCGGGGTGACGCCAAAATACCAGTCAAGAAGCTCGATGCATGTACTCTTCAACTGTTCAGCTGCTGAACACCTCAATTATGATTTCTCATTCAAAGAAGTAAACTGAGGAGGGGGGAGGTAATCTTACCTGTGTTGACAGTTTTAGCTCCAAAACAACTTTCCAATGTTTACGATTGATGTCCTTCTTACATTCCACTGAATCCCCAGTATGGCATGGCTTATATATATATATATATGTATATATATATATATATATATATATATATATATATATATATATATATAT